GGTCTTCCAAAGTAATGGTGAGGCCAGTTCATTCAGTGCAAGGTAAAAGAAGTGTAGTAGCTAAAGTCAAAAACTACAATATGCTCATGTTCAAAGCTTTCAAGCGTTGGAAGCTTTGAAGGATCTCAAGGAGGAATATGTGTTAAGCACTAGATTAGGATAATAGAATAAAGAAAAGGCCCTGTGATTACCCTTTTATTCAGTTGGTTTAGGGTGTAAGAGATAGGATTTTAACATTGGTATTAGAGATTTTAAACAATGAAAGTAAACAACTTGAGAGACAATTTATAAGGTTTAAATATAAAGGGAAAGGGCCCATGAACAATAATGCATCTCTTTTTCTAATCAGTTAAGGATTTTGTGATACTTGGGGTTAAATGTCCTTGGGTTTGAATAGTATTAGGTTGGATGACCTCCCAGAAGTCCAAACTCAAGAGTGTACATTTAGTATTAGAAAGGGTCTCAAGTCTGACTCCCTTGGTTGGTTTAAGGGAATCGCACCACATATTAATTGATATTTGGTAAGTTTAATTTGTTCTCTCTTGGAAGTCTAGACTTAGGAGCATACATTTAGTGAGAGGGTCTTAAGTCCGATTTTTTTGGTTAGTTAAAGGAATTGCATCACATGTTGATTGACATTTGGTAAGTTCAATTTGCTTTGGTTGAACTCAACCCGAGGGGTAGGGTGTCAAGAAAGCAAGGCTCTCGGAAAAGTTGTAGCTCTCAACTTTTGTTCATGAGGGCATGAATTTATAGGAAAGCATAGTGGATTGTATGCAACCACAAAGAATGATTTGAGAGATAATCTATAGGGTTCAAATATAAAGGAAAAATACCTATAAAAAAGTGATCACCCCTTTAACCAATTGGCTTAGGGTGTAAAGGATAGGATCCTAACATTGGTATTGGAACTCAATTCTCTTGGGGTTTGGTAGACCCCAAGAGAAGGACCATGGTGACCAGAAGGTGGCCTAAGTATGATTGTGGATAATCATTCCTTGACAAAAGGAGGATTGTTAAGCATTAGGTCAAGATAATAGGATAAAGAAAGGGCTTTGCAATAAAGTGATCACCCCTTTAGCCAATTGGATATGATCTTAACAACATGGCAATAAGATCTTTTAGCAATTCATGGGTAACTATTTTCATCCATTGTTTTGATAAGCTAACTAATGACTCAAGATACATGAAAAAATATCATCCCCATAGGCTTGTTAACCAAACCTTTTTCAACTACTATAAGATGGTGCCAATGGATAGTAGCAATAAAGATCATAACACTAAGAGGATACTTGTGGACAGCAACAACAAGAATGACGACATCACATGGGCATTCATTCCTATATATTGGGATAACAAACAGATTTCATGACTATGATATCTATTTTGGTTTTAGTTGTGGAGAGAACACAAACTTTGGCCAAGTTGGATGGTGGCAGCCATTTCCTAATTATGTGCTATAATTTTCTAAAAAAAATAAATTGTATTATAAAATTTTACAAATGGTAAAATATAATAAGCAAAATAATATTTCAAATTATACTTTCTTATATAAAAATCATTTTATAATATTTATGTTTTGTGTTATTCTATGAATTTATTTCTCCTCATATTTTCACCAAAAAAAGATATAATATCAAACTATAAGGCTTATAAATATATGTTTCTTTTGTTTATTCTTCATCTGTAGTATTTCCTTCTCCTAGCACATTAATCATTTATAACTTATATAATTTTCATTCTTAATTTAATGTTGAGTTGGGTGTTTTTTAATCTTCTTCATACTAATTTAGATGTTGAGCATGTGTATGAAGTTGAGAATATTGCTTTTGTTTCATTGGTAGAATCTTTAATCAATTCTAGTGTTCAATATTCCCATGTTAAGTCACTTTAATTAAAGTTTCAAATTGAGTGTATATCCCCACATATGAGTCCCATGAAGAGCCTTTATTTTACTATTACTGCTAATAAGTTTATAAATTCCCTTAAGAGTGTGGACATTTTTATTGATTTTCTAATCTTAAATGTTGAGTTATATGTCGAGGAGGTTAAACAATGTGATTTTTTTGCTTATATTGTGGTGACCAAAGTATTTTATGACATCTTATTTTTCAAACTTTAGACATATATCCTTTTTTTTATTTCCTTATTTCCATATTGCCAACTACTGAAAATTCCTCTTTCGATACTATATTATTTGCTTTTTTTCTTCCATAATGGTTTTTCCATTTTTTCTCTCTTTTTCCTTTTTGCCCCTGATTCTTTAAACTTTTTTTTCTTCGAAGGGGGTAAAGAGGACAAATGATGGAGTGAGGATGAGTAGATGTAATAATGGAGTAAGGATAAATAACATGGATTATAGAGTGAGGTGAGTATAGTGAATTCAAACAGAATATCCAACCTTGATGTTTTGAGGTCGAAAAAATATGATAGTGGAGTGAAGTTAAACATAAATGGTAGAATGAGAATGAATGTAATAAGTCTAAATAAAGTTAATGCTTTATAATGTTTTTTCCTTTGAGAAGGGGATAAAGAGGATGTGGAAGATAAATAGAGTGAGTTTAATCTCCCATATGTAGTGTTAGACAAAAATAAAGTTGTGAGTCCAAATCAACACAAGTTTAAGATATTGATCAAAATGAAGATAAAGAGGCAAGTTTTGCTTATGGTTGTGAGTCCAAGTTAACAATTGTCTCAAACGATTGTCAGCAAACAGATTTGGAGATGAAATGTAACATTTGTTGCAATGGTGCTTTATGGACTGCAATGGCTTCAAAGTCTCTTGTTTAAATTCAAATTATGGCTTGAAGGTTGGTTTGGGCATTTAGCAGTTGTACATGGAGTTGCCTTTGGTTCATCAGGATTCTCTAGTCAATTGATGTTTATACTATAAATTTGGGTTTTGTTTTATTTATGGTTATTAATGGTGGTTTTAGGAGCTTTAAATTCTTATAGTAGTCTTCAATTGCCTAGCAGAAGCTCTAGATGTTCCACTTGACTCATCATCATCACTTTCTTCATCTTTTGGACAGGAGGATAGTGTTAGGATATATATATATATATATATATATATATATATATATATATATATATATATATATATATATATATATATATATATATATATATATATATATATATATATATATATATATATATATATATATATATATATATATATATATATATATATATATATATATATATATATATATATATATATATATATATATATATATATATATATATATATATATATATATATATATATATATATATATATATATATATATATATATATTCATATTTATTTAAGAAATTATTATAAACTCTAAATTATTAGTAATGAGGTTTAGATTCCCAAACATATATTACCATTTCTAGCATTACAATTATTATGAATACAAAGATAAGGAGCAACACAATTTGGTTCTGGTAAACAAAATGTACTAATAGACTAGAGTGTAATATCAAAACTATTATAAAGAACAAGTTTTCCATCAATTTTTACTTAAAATTAGTTTAAGATTAAATATTACAAAACTTTTTGAATAAATAATGGTTTTACAATCTCATTGAGAAAAAATAGACTTCTCTAGATACAAACTTTGATTAGGTATTGCAAAATGTT